AGCAGAGGCTAACCCGGGTGTGAACCCGGAACAATAAAGCGCGTACCGTCAAACACTCGACGCTCGGGCGGTACACCCTCACTGAGGCCGTCGCCAAGAGAACAGATTGACATGTGAGCTGCTGACGGCTCACAGAATTAGTGGAGACGGCCGTGGTGGGAGCTAGGGCGGCAGCTACCTAGCTGGGCTGCCTACATTAAAGGGGGAACGGTAGACCCCGAGCCGCGGCCACTCAGCTGACGAGGGCGAGAAGTGTCTAGCTGACCGCTGAGTGGCAGTGAAGTCCCTCTCATCATACTGAGGGCGGGGGTGACGACCCCCCGCCCCTGGGGGAACAACCCCCCGACAGGTGATGCGGCCGAGCGCCCCCGCCCGTGGGAGTCGAGGGCCCGGAGAGCCCTGAGAGGAAACGCCGTTCGCACCCAGACACAAAACGGCATGGTGATAGCCCTAGCCGCGCGATGGCATTACTTCTAAATACAAATTACTACGCGGCTCAAATTCAAATTACAAATTAACAAATAACAAATACAAAAAGAATTAACGAGTAACAAAATACCGTTCCTATCAAATCAAGTTAAATACAATTACACAAATACAAATTACCATTTATTAGATTAAATACGAACCACAATACAATAAAGATACACATCCCGTTCGATCTACAAAAAATGCCTCGCTCAGACAACCGACCCTTTGATAAGCAATCAACCATAATTATACGACAACGATAATTATCCGATTACGTGATAATATCCTTCTACCTACCCAACGCATCTCTCTAGCAAACTCCCGCTTGCGCAACCTAGGGCGTGACAGTCGCAACTACCCACTAACAACAAAAAAAGGCAAGCAACAAAAGAAAAGAATTTTAATTTTACGTATTACGGCCGGGCGTGATTGTAGACACAAATTAAACCAATCAAACAAACACTCCCTGCCACCAAAATTGTTTAATTTTTATCAAGTACCCTACGGTCGGGCTCGACCGGGAATCGAACCCGGAACCACGCTCTGCTACCACTGCGTTACGGCCTACGGCTGCTCCAGCAAAGTTTCAATCATCCGGGGCCCATCAGCGGAGACTTCACGAGCAGACGTAGGTCGGGCCTCAATATGGCCACGTGGAATTTGTTCTATCACAATAAACTATATGGGAGAAAGCTAGAAACACATAGTACTTACCATTATCCGAAGCTAACTTCGCACCAAGGCTTGGGCAGGCCGTGAGTGTGTGTAATAGTCGATGGCGAGTAGTGTACAGTGATGTGTGAATGTGTGGGGCCTTGGCAAGCATAGGCGACCAGCAGCGGCCGAGTTCAAGGCTGCTCCAAAATACTGCATCGCTCTAGACTGCTTCAGCGCCGGACCACTTCTTTATTCATTGTCACTAATTCAGTTTCTTAGTTTCATTGTACATTTAACTAACTTAAATTCGCCTAATTCCACATTCATCGTAGAATCGAACACGTGATACCCGACAGATTCAGCGTTAAACACAACTAAGTTCCTTCATTCGACACCAGAACAACACGTCGCGCCAGAGTCAAAAATACGCCTCGTTGACTCGCGAATTAATCTAACTAGCCAACCAAAACACAAAAGGGGCACTAAACGCGACGACACAATTATAACGATATCTTGACAATTAACCGGGAGAAGCTCTCAAACTAGGAATTCGCGGTTCGAATCCTAGACCGTATATCTACTAGAGGCGCGTACACTATTCCGCACTCTCGCCCGAGTTAAATATCACACAATTCACATATCTACGTGACGAAGACACGCACTTCATCTAGCTAAGATGCATAATTACTTTAAAAGAATTTACTTAAACCGTAAAACCCCATAAAGGCCTCTGTTACGGGAACCTAAATCCTAGACCACCAAATCCGAGGCGGATTTCACGAAACCCAATTACGTAGCGAAGCCGCGCCCAAACCCAAATTCTAGACCCTAATCACTCGAAACCGGTCTTGCGCTAGCTTCCGCGGCGGTAGCCGAAACACTCGGCCTAACCACCTACTATCTCGCCCGACCGCCAAGACGCTGGGAAGCTCCCTTCCGCTGCCCCCTCTCCGACACACGCGTGACACCTGGTACGATCGGGCGATTGGCAAAGTCGAACGTGATTGGGTAACGTCCTAACATAACCAAATTTGGGCATAAACAAATACTTTTATTTAAATCTGTAGTACATTGCAGGGGGATGAAACTGCCATAACAAATTTACAAGAATAAAAAATGCATTGAAAGTTCTGCCCTCTAGTGAACAAGGTACATAAACTTGTAGGCTAGTTTTTATACTACATTATATACTATAATAAATACGAATATTATTGATACGATACGATAATTCAGAAAGAGAAAATATTTTGCAACTTTTCGTTCCTCTCGTGTGAATATCATAATTTAGGCTTTATGATTATTTACTAAATTTAACAATAAAAGTGGTTGTTCATAGTTTATGCACCAATGTCAACAGGCTGCTAAATGGAAAATTATTAACTACTGATTTGTGATTGTGAAAATGATAATGTCAACACTCAAGCTATTAAATATAACCTTAACCTTCATAAAAGAAAATAAATACATAATTAAAATTCTGTTCAGTATTTGATATTAATATTAAAATAAAATCTTATGTGAAATAAGTTAAGTTTTATTAGTGTTAATGTTATCTGCAAAATTACTATTTGAAGATTTAAGATAATCTTTGGAGATATCCAATAATTATCTGGTAGAATGCATAAACAGAAACATTATTAATAAAACTGCATACTTCATAATTACCAATATAGTCATTGACAAAATACGCCATCTAGTGGTAACCATGTGGTAACTACCGCAAGCCGCGTTATACTAAGGAATACAGCGGCATCTGGCGTACACGGTACACCCATTCGAAAACTGAAATGTGAGTGGCGGATCTATCCCTGGTATATAGTGTATTATCTATGGTACATTGTACCCCGCTAATGGTACGACTTTCCATTGACGTCAGTCGAGTTTGGTGTTGATACGTATTTTTACAGAAAGATTACATTTTTATAAGCACACACACACAGTTTCAATATGCGGAAACACGTACTTATTGAGAAAAAATATTATAAATCAAATAATTTTGCAATATTTAGTCAATTCCTACCGTGAAACTGACGCCATTTTTATTATTATTGTCAGTAGGGATGTCGATTCTTTCCGAAAAAGAACGATTTTTTTTAAATAGATTCGAATTGTAAGCTGATGTATCGATTCCCAAAAAATCGATTTCTAAAATATCGATTTTTTTTCATGTTTGCATTTATAATGTAAATATAAATCCATTTTATGAATGAGAAAAAATCCCCTTCATAATAAAAAAATAAGGGGACTGATTCGGAAGGATTTCTGTATCTATTTTGAGACTGCTACGTCTCCGGCGCTGCGGGAAGAGCAGCCTCTATGCCTTAGCGTAACAAATCGCAGGCATCCCTCCTCGCCTCTGCAGCTTCGGCTTGTTGTTCGCCTTCGGCGACCAGCCTCAGCCGCTCCGGCTCGTCCGATGCCTACGATTTGTTACAACAGGCGGAGGCTGCTCCCCCTACGCGCCTCCGGCTCTATAAAACCACTCTAGGGGTAGGACAGACTCGTACCAGGTGGAGTCGGGGTCAATCAATTTCAATAAGAGATCATTTATCATGGTATCTTTCTTGTTTTTCATAAAATGGGTTTATATTTACATTATAAATAGAAACATTAAAAAAATATAGATATTTTAGAAATCGATTTTTTGTGAACCGATACATCAGCTTACGATTTGAATCGATTTAAAAATCGACCTTTTTCGGAAAGAATTGACATCCCTATTGATGTCGACAATGACATTACAAAATGGAGCCAGTTTTATGGTAGGATTAGACATAAACATTGCAAGAATAAATGATTTTCAATAATTATTTTCTCAAAAATTACGCGTTTCCGCATGTTGAAACTTTGTGTGTGTGCTTATAATAGTGTAACTTTTCTGTAAAAATACGTATCAACACCAAACTCGACTGACGTCAATGGAAAGCTAAGCCGTTAATTTTTTTTAATACAAATAAATTACTTCATAAAATCAATTTGGTTTGAAAAGGGGGTCGCTCGACGCCTGACGCCGGTGTTGAGCTTATGAAATATATTTTTTGTGTCTGGGAGAATTCACAAGATGCCTTAGGTAATTTCTGTGATCTGTGCAAGGATTTCGATTGTGTTCATCATGAGACATTAATCAGGAAACTACAAAATTACGGTGTAAAAAATTTGGCGCTTAGACTTAACAGAAGGTAACAGAACTCAAAAAGTCGTGATTAGTGGTAAAGGTTCCCCCGGATCGGTAATATCAATGGGCGTTCCTCAGGGCTCGATTCTTGGCCCATTCTTGTTCTTAATCCATATTAATGACTTACCTTCTTTTGTAGGGGACAATCACGATATAGTATTATTTGCTGATGATACTTCTTTAATTTTCAAACTCAAACGGCAGTCAATTAATTATGACGATGTAAATAATGCTCTATCAAAATTAGTACATTGGTTAAACGTCAACAATTTGCTCTTAAACAGCAATAAGACAAAATATATTAAATTTACAATACCTAATGTAAAACATTCGAATACCAATGTACTCTTAAATGGGGAGGAGTTGAGTCTTGTGGATACCACTGTTTTTCTTGGTATTATTATTGACGCGAAACTTCAATGGGCCCCCCATATATCTAAATTAGCAAGCAGACTTAGTTCTGCAGCATATGCTGTAAGAAAGATTCTCTATTAAGAAGAATCTAGCTGTCTCACAGATGTTGAGACAGCTAGATTAGTGTATTTAGTTACTTTCATAGCGTAATGTCTTATGGAATTTTGCTAAGGGGTAATGCGACTGATATTGAAGCTATATTTATTTTGCAAAAGAGAGCCGTACAGGCGATTTTTAACTTAAATTGTAAATAGTCCTTCAAATTTAAAGAAATAAACATATTAACTTTGGCATCGCAATATATTTATGAAAATGCAATGTATTTACATAAAAACATATAGCTTTAATAAGAATAAGGATGTGTATTCTTTAAACACTAGGAACAAACATAAGCTTTTAATGCCAGTTACTAGACTCCACAGAGTCAGTAATTCATTTGTGGGGTTATGCATACGTCATTGGTCTAAATGAAATCAAGCGAACTTATCTACTAACTTTGTTTTATTTACTAAGCATTTGTGTGCGCACCCTTACACTTGTTTCACTAGACACTTGCATATATTATACACGTCCTATAACAGGTGTGTCAATAGACTTCCGTGTAAGACTTAAGTTAACCAAACTATAAAGTTACTATTGAATTGTTATAATGTTTATTATCCGCTGCACGCACTTCCTTCCTCAGCGTCTATGGAGTAGGTGACACGAACGTTTAACCACTAGACGATATCACTAGCATATGGGGGTAGCCAACATCTTTCATCTCTCTTGGTAAACTTCTCAAAACGTGGGATCATTATTCTTGTGGAGTTGGAGACTTGTCCAAACGTATTCCTTCCTAGCTACGCCCAACTGCAGCCATGCAGAGTGCCTAGTTGTTTGCTGCGGCAGCGGCGGGGCGCGGCGCCTCGGCGTCGGCCTGAGCGCTCGGCGCACTCGCCGCACTCGCCACACTCGTCGCCAGCTCGGCACTGGCTGTGGCCTCAGCCACGTCCTCGTCCTCGTCCTCATCCTCGAAACAAAGAAAGAACGTATTTATTTATTGCAACTTGCAGAATATCAATTTTACAAACAAAAAATACTTGACTAAATATTTAAAAAAAATGGATAGCAGCAACAAAAAGGCCACTGACCCAGCAACTCAGCATAATGCTACATAAGAGAGATACTGCCGCGCTGATATTTTGTCGGAGCCACATATTAAGTCTTAAAATTTTAAATTGTATTATAATACTTATAATCACTAAGGACTTAATCAAAATTAACATTAAGTCTAATAGTTTTTCTAATAGTTTCTAACAGTGGTAGAGCCACGCGGCAGCTTTTGCTGTCGCACGGATGGGCCGGCTCGAACCGGGGTGGTACCACGACCTCACAGAAAACCAGCGTGAAGTAGAGGTTTACCTCTGCGTTTCGCTTGGTGAGTGCAGGTGACCGGAGGCCCTTTTTACTGGAAATGAGGCATTCCATCTCGGTCCTCACGGGTGACAACGCATCTACATTTTGATTTGTAATAGAGGATAGATGTAGATGTCTATGGACCGCAGCAACCACTTACCATCAGGTGGACAGTGTGCTCGTTTGTCACCCTTATCCTATAAAAAAAAAAGTTATCTAATATATAAAATAAATATTTCTGTTTGTTCGTACTTTATGTACTGCCATACTGTTCATCAGATTGCGCTAAATATTTGTCAACTTATTGCTTGCACCTGTGAAAAGGTTATAGGCATAGTACAATTAACTTATAATAGGTGGCGCGCTTATCGTACCGACAAATTTAATTGAAAGACATATATTAATTCAATTTAATCATGAATGTATTATCATTATTAATTAAACAATATAACTCTTTCAAATTTAAAACGATATTTCCACAATTATTTCTTCTGCGTCAGCAACGCGAGAGTACCAGCTAGTATGTAATAAATATTGTCTATATACTACGTTCCTATATTCTGTGCTAATTCTGTTAATAAATTAATCTATGACACAAACTGAAAGTCTATGGATGCATAAAAAATAAAAACCTTTTGGTTTGATTTTCTTAAAAACAATAAAAAATGAGTTGCCGTACACGTACCTTGCCGTACAGGTCGGGGTACTGCGACATGCACTCCTGCATCACGCTGAACTTCTCGTAGCAGTCGCTGCCCTTTGGATCCGCTTCACTGTAAGCGAACAACAAATGCTTCAGGTATTCAGAATACAGGTACTAACTCAGGTACACTTTGCTCAACAACGTATACACTAAGGCGCCGTCCTAATGCCATCGCTCGCGCGATCAAGCGTGCGTCCGACGAAAATGTTCGTCCGTGCGTTTAAACATACTCATATCTGCGGAATGTCCTATTGAAGGGCGTGCGATCATGCGATGCGACCGAATCGCCTAATTTTCGCCGTGCCATTATCGACACATCCATTCCAGTCTGTAGGATAAGAGAACCTTCAATTGCAGGTTATGAAGTAATTCTTTTGTTTACAAATTTTATAAGTTCTCTGCTTACTTATAGGTTAACTGGTAGGGAAAGCCTTAAGGTGTTAAGTCCGCCTTTGTACATTTTTGTGCAACGAATTTTAGATAAACATAACTGTATGTGTTAGATTCGGAATTAAGGCTTTCTGTACCAAGCCGTACATGAGGAGCCACGTGGCGCCGTAGCCGCACTGATATCGCCCCGCGTGTTAGTATATACATACAAAAATCGCGTACTGGCCGCACCGAGGCCGTACCGCGGTGGCGTTTTAAACGTGAATTTTGCAATTGCGGTGCGGCACATTACCGTGTGATGTTGGTTTAAAAATATCCACTACCTCGTATCATCCCGTTGATGTTGTAAGAGGCGACATAGGGAAACAAATCAGGAGATGGGCAGCAGTGTTTTCCTAATAGCGACTAAACGTAAGAGAACTGCGGTTGCCGAGCGTGACAACTATGGCAAATATCGCTCCCCTATGAGGGATGCCTTTGTTCAGCAGTGTACTTTAAAAGGCTGTAACGGTAACGACAACGGTAACATTTCAGCTACAGCGTCATGTACAAGAAGCCTCAAGGCCGAAACTCTTCTCATATTTCACAACTGTGTGAGACGGTGAGTTGTATAGAGCAGCTAGCGCAATCCTGCAAGTTGACAATATATAAAATATTAAAAATAAAATAACATGCATTGATCATGAGCTGTAATCATCCTAATGAGAATATTAAGTCATAGTCATTGAGGTCAATGACTATGATGTAGTAGGTACTACGAGTACTAAAATGCACCTCGGGTCCGCGCTCAAATGTGTCCGAGCCAAAAGAGTTACAAACCGCAAAAGTTCCAATCGCGGGCCAGTCTGCGTTTTGTCTACCGACTTATAATACACGTCCAAAATGCCGTACTGTGTAGTGAAAACGTGCAAAAACAATTTTAGTGAAGGCAGAAAAGAGAATATCATATTCAGAAGAAAACATACGGCGATTTTTACGTATGAAGAGTGCAATGGAGAAAGCAGAAATGTGTAAAACTGTAATGGAAACTTCTATTCAATCAAACATTTTTCAAGAAAATCACCTACATTCAGTAGAACAAGCAGCTATGTTCAATCATAAAATAAGTTTATTGAAAGCTGTTGCTGAAAAATATATGTGCGAATGCATTGTCAAGAAACTTTTGACAGGAAACTCAAATCCAAACGTCAACTATATAATAAATTGAATTATTTTCAATAAAATTAGGAAATAAGAATGTATGTCGCCTTGCGAGTTTATATTTTTTGGCACCTTACATAGGTATGTTCTACTAGGGCCTAAAAATCAAGATTCCAACGTTTGGTCGCATTAAATTGTATCTAACAATCATATTGTACATATAAATGATATTAGTGTATTATTGAGTGCCAATAGGGAATGAGTATTAGTGCTCGGTGAAGGAAAACATCGTGAGGAAACCTGCATGTCTGAGAAATAAGAAAAAAAAATTCGAAGACATGTGAAGTTCGCCAACACGCATTGGGGCAGCGCGCGGACATTTTCCTTGCCCTAAAACCCTCTCAGAAATGAGAGAAGACCTGTGCCCAGCAGTGGGACCTATTTATATATATATATATAGGCTGTAATTTTAACTTTTTTTAGAAGTTAATTAAACACAAATTGTAATTTGCCTCTATGATTTCGTACTTATGTGTATAAATATTAGATGAACGCAAACTTTTATTATTTTGCAACCTTAAACACAAAGCACGTAGGTATGTTCTATTAGCGCCTAAAAATCAAGATTGCAACGTTTTACGCATGATATCGTATCTAATAATCATATTGAACATATATGATTATATATGATATAAAATATATATGATATAAAAAGCACATTGTCAGAAAGATAACTGACTGTTGAACACAATATTTTTTTTTTAAATTTGTTTAATTGCTATTTTTACAAAAAATCTGGTTTTAGTGGCTTATGCTGTAGATTTATCGAGTCCGCGCGGAGGGGTAAACACGATAACTTTTGAAAATATCAATTGTTTAACTCAATCTATTTTTTAAATCTCTTCATCTATTATGTGGGAAAACATAGAATGTAAATGGCAGTTTAATTTTGTTTTGTTTAGTTAGAATTAATTTTTTTCGCTTGGAAGATCCTAAAATTCTATATAATAATTTATTTTACTACACTTATGCCTCACTGCGCGCTTGGCCGCAGTCGTGAATGGATATTATTGTGCTGAAAAAGATCGCTGTAGAAATACAAAATATTCCAAAAAACAAATTTTATACATACTTGACAAGGTAAGACATTATAAGTGTATTTCGATGAATGCTACTGGAACTCCTAGACTATTAGAACTAGGTGTGCCGAGTTTGGACTCTTTTTGTTATTTATAAGACTACCTACAGACTTGATGGAGTGACTTGAAACTGTATTTCGATGACTGCTACTGGAACTCTTTGACTAATAGAATTACAATTTACGTTTTTTAATAATTTTTTCACGTTCATATGAGCATTATGCGTCGTGCACTTTTGGATTATCAAAACTTTTTTGACGGCTCCGTGGCGCTGTGGCTTAGCAATGAGTTGTTGCGCTGGGGACCGCAGGTTCGAATCCCGCACGGAACAAGTATTTGTATGGCCTACAAATAATTGTTCCGGGTCTGGATGTTTGTCCTCGTGCAATTTATGTTTGTAAACTGCCTCCAAGATACAGGAGAAAATCCTAGTCTGGGGTAACGTTTTTTAAAGAGAAAAAACAAATTGACGTTTGACGTAAAATTATCGGAAAATAGGAAGTATTTTCATACGTGGTAGAGCCATACTGTTAATATAGCTGTAGCACGAATGGGTCGGACCAAGCTTTCATAGAATACCAGCGTAAAATAGCAGCTTAATGCCGCTGTGTTTCGTTTGGTGAGTGCAGAGAACCGGAGACCTTTGTTACTAGAAAAGAGGCATTCCATCTTAGTCCTCACGGCTGACAACGCATCTGCATTTTATTCACAAATGAGGATAGATTTAGATGTCTATGGGCCACAGCAACCACTTACCATCAGATGGACTGTGTTCTCGCTTGTCACCCTTATCCTATAAATAAAGTATAGCAGTAAGGTTATTAGTGAAAACTTGTGTGTATATAAACCACTTTAAAAATTAGCGCTAAAGGCATGCTTATTTGAATTTACCAATTTGTTTTGATACTGTTAAAGTCCAAGTCGTACTTACTCAATCAGTGGTCCGTACAATAAGCTGCTGTAAAACAAATTTTGTCGTAGAGCTTTTTTTCATTCAAGTTGAAAAACAAACTATTGGATTGCAATTGCAATCCTCTTATATTGAAATTGTTATAAAAAGTTATAAAAACAATACATTATGCATATAATTAGTTGACTTAATAATGTTTTAGTTGATCAATAAAGATTTATATTATTATTATTTTTATTACACTAATCGGATTCGTGCTTCAATAAGCTTTCATTTTATGCCTTTACAATGCGCAAATTTTAAATTTTTAAATACATTTTTATATTTACACTAATTGTGTCTGTGCGAACTGTGTTGCAGGTGGCTTAGGACCGTGCTTTGTGGTATTCCTTGGGGGAGGCCTATGTTCAGCAGTGAACTTGTGAAGGGCTGTAATGATGATGATGATGATGATGATGATGATGATGATGAACTGTGTTTTAATTATTATATATTTAAAATTGTATAAAATTGTAAATCAATTAACAAATAAAAAGAAATAAAAGAGGCATAAAATATTATAAAAATAAAAACAAATAAGCTACTCCATTACTCCTGTGTTCGCATAATATTCTCTAGAAGCTTCCTAAAGTGAAAATCGTGCGGCCTCTATAGTCGAAGTTAAATAGGCTGAAAATTTGTCGCAAGTAAAATTGAGCAGTTTTCTTATGACAGTATGGTTTTAATTAGTATGATATATATTTTTTTATTTTATACATATACCTACGCTTATATAGGCTGACTCGGGACACATTTTTCACAAATTTTGTTCTAGACTCGCCGTCCATTTAGACCAGAGGTATGGAAACTGAATTACAAAAGTGGATGATATCCATTCATTACAGCTAATCAATGTACATAGGCCTTTCCTTTTACCTTAGTTGGCATGCTTGCCAGGTAGGGTTGCCAGATGGTCGGGATTCGTCTGGATTCTCCCGACATTTTAAATGATCTCCAGACTCCCGACAAAACTCAAAATCTCCAGACAAACAGCTTCTTGGAAAGTTCTATACAAAATAATAATTTAAAATTGCCACGTGCGTTCACGTTCTTCTTCGTCATGTCCCGATAAGATGGCTATCTCTTTTGCCCACTTTAGATAATTTACTGTATTGTTAGACTGCTGTAAAGCAGTTTTTTTTTGTTGAAAGGGGAAGTCGAAAAGAGATATTAATATGGGAGTTTGTAACAAGAAAGTATTAGCCATATTGATAATAATAGTGAACGGATTGACGAATGCAAACAGGAAGGCGATTTCAGAAGCCTATTTATACTTTGTACTTTGTAACGTAATGTTGGAGTTCCAAGTAGCAATTTTAGCATTCGAAAGTGCTGCAGGCACTGTCCTACAACTTAAAAGTGTAATGAAAAAACTAATGAGTCATCTAAAAACAGGTTGGATGACAAATTCTTAGGTAGTAGAAAAATAACCTTATCAAGGAACGTTTCCGATAGTGAGAAAACCCCTTTTTGCGTCAAAGCTGAACATTTTTTAAAACGAGCTATTCAATACTTGCAAGAACACTATTTCTCTGAGAACTGTCTTTAAAAATTCGCTGTATTACCTTTAGAAGGTGCAAATTTATTTACGTGGGAAGAGAGAGTTATCCGTCTGACGTACTTAATATTTCAAACCGATATTGACTTTATATACCGATATATCTCTTCGAGAAACACTTAAACGTCTTCCAAAAAATATGTAAAATGACAAAATTTGAGCATTTTTTTTAAAATGCAACCAAAACGACCTAAAACTTGAAAAATAATATATAATAATATATATGCCGATTCCTATACGCAAGTGTTTAGTTTGCTATATAATTTATATACCAAAGAGAGAAATCGTTAGTAATTGAATTGAACAAAAAATAGTTTCTGAAAACTACTAACGGAACTAAAGTGGGGGGATCAGTAAAGTCCAATGCCAAATACATGGTTATATGTCAACAATGCTAAGTCTTTTTGTAGCCTATTAATTAAAAAAATATTTTTATTTTACGTTTTTATTTTTCATATTAATTTCTCCCGACAACAACCCCAAAATCCCGACATTTTCAAATTTTGTCCAGATATTTTGGCCTTCCGATCTGGCAACCCTATTGCCAGGCGAGATAGTAGCTGCAGCTTTATTAGTAAGAGATGCTGGTACGATGGGTGGGTTCTGTTTGATTTCTCTCTGTCGCCTCTTACGACATCCACGAGATGATATGCGGTAGTGGATACTCTTACACTGTCACAATACGTACAGGTGAAGCCAAAGATTTCTATGTCATACTACTAGACGGTCAATTCCGTAACTCCTTTTCTCCGTTCATCCTCCTGCGAGCGGATCGCGAACGTTGTTTTCGACAATCAATAACTGATTTTGTTTAACGTGACTAAAAAAAAAAAGAAAATACTGACATTGTCTTGTGCACACTTTGTCAACGTGATTTTTTTCAACGCGTTTATTTCAGATAAGTTAGTATGCAATTTTATTTCGTATTATTTACGTACGTATGTACTATCTATGTACCTACGTTCTCCGTGACTTCGTCCGCGTGGAATTTATTACTGTCCGATTTCATGGGTTTTAAGTATTTTGGGAGGAACCATAATTCTTTTTCTAAAATAAAACTGGTAAAATTAAAATTTTTATACAACCGACTTCAATATAATTAAAATGAGAACATCATCAATGCGGTCTAAGTCAATTAAATACGCATTATTAAGGATAGAACTCAAAAACTACTGGCCAGATTTTGATCAAATTTATTTGGGACCACATGAGAAGCACAAGCTTTCAAATAAAAAAAAGGATCATCAAAATCGTACTTAGAAAAAAGTTCTATGGTAACACATAAATTACAGTCGAATTGATTACCTCTTCCTTTTTTGAAGTTGGGTAATAAATATTTTTATGGAATTTATCGCTTTTCTCGACGTTTCGGGTTCGTTCGGGTCCGATCTACGCAGAATGAGCTTGCTGTGTCTTGAAGTCTTGCAGTGATATGCTTGGGTTTAGTTTTACTGTTACAGCCTATTAAAGTCCACTGCTGAACATGTCTCTCCAATAGATTGTCTCATAGGGGGATATTTGCCATAGTTGCCACGCTCGGCAAGCGGGTTGGCAACCGCAGTTGTTTATTTTTAGGAAGACGCTGCTGCCCAATTGTTTCCTTCTGTCGTCTCTTACGATACCCGCGGGATGATATGGTGTAGTGGATATTCTTTATAAATAAACGATTGAGTTTTAATTTTATTAATTACAGGATCCCAAGCAAGTGGTAGTACCCAGTCTCCTTTTCTATTGAAATTAGGATGTGTTTTTTAATTTCAATAGCCGCACGTATTATATCTTTGGTAGAAATCTATGTTTATCAAATTTGATGTAATGGTGGGAGCTTACCTGTAGTGGAAGCAGGAGAAGGCATCTCGGAACTGGGTGCCACAAGGCCCAGTGGCCATGCCTCCAAGGCACGGGCAGCCCCAGTTGATGGAGCCGTCGGCATTCACGAGACCAGGCGCTGGTGGTGGTTCGGGAAGTATGGCGCGGCTTGGAGCCGCCAGCACCTCGGGTGCCGCCACCACCAGCAGGTCCTTGCCGCCGGGACCCGTCCACTCCTCGCGCAACGACATGCTGAACCACCCACACCATTGTTCTCACGTGAATACTTCTCTTAATTTGCTTCCACAGTGGGAGACAATTAAAAAAACGTATTTTTATAGAATAAGGGTGACAAAAAAAGGGTGAAAAGGATGTTTACACGTGGTAGAGCCATGCTGCAGCAATGGGTTGGTTTGATCGGATTAGGACCACATTCTCATAGAACAGCTTAATGTTACTGTGTTTAGAGTAGAGCCGACCCACTCGTGCTACAAACTGTTCTAGCACACACAAAAATTATCACAACCTATTGTAATGCCTGCTTAACATAGGCTTCCACCATAGCTTGTCTAATAGGAAGAATATTGGCTATACTTTCCAGACTTTGCAAGCGGGGTTGATGCAGGGAAGGTTTTTTATTATTATTGAGTAATTATCAGGAAGATGCTGCTACCCACCTCATACATCATTTCTCTCTGTCGCCTCTTACAATACCAACTTAACGATAATGAGGTATTATATTCTCTTACATTATCACTACATGGTAACCACACACGTCATATTCTTACATAATGGTACACCAAAGACGAAGAACGCAGAATAGCAGAATAGGATATTCTCCCACTAGGTACAGTCAATCTATGCAGGCTCAGAAGGCTTTGTGACATAACTTAGAGGAGGTTTAATATTCAGCAGTGCACTTGTAAACAACTGTAATGTGATGACATCAGAGACTTCGCATACTCAATTAAGGTTGTCAATAACCCTATATAATCCTATATAAATCTAATAGGAATGAGACGATTGCTACTAAGTGGCTTTCTATAGTTTATTGTACCTCATACATTTTTATTGTAAACTATTAATATAAAAAGTTCTACTTGATTTCTTACTGACTTCACATGACACAGGTTTATTTTTTAAACTAGTGACAGAAGACCTTTCAAAAATGATATTTATAAGTATATTGAGAAAAAAAAATGTGGTGAGTATAACAAATTTACTGCATGCATCAGCTGGCAAGATATACTGCATTCTTGATAGTGCACAAGTATGTGGGCAAGCCCAAGTGTACTCTCTATCCCCTCAGTCAACTAGTCGCATGGGGCGGCAATCCAACACGAACAGGGATAAATCAGATGCAGGACAAACAGTTTTGCGCCTTTTTCGAGGCACAGGGGTGAAACACCACCGGAAAAACCCAATAACTGATTTTTAACCCCACCTGGGATTTGACTTCACAACCACAAGTAGACCATTGAGGCAGTCAATATATTTATATGAAATTTAATAAACATGCAGTGTTAGTATTAAGTATTTTAGTAATTATATACAAAATTCTAAACCTGATTAAAGATGTTAAATTAGAGCCTGGAGTGATGGTGCTTCTGCATATACTCTTACTGTTTTAGGGCACAGAGCAAGTGCAGCACGTAAGCGACGGTGGTGACGTGCGTGAACACGTAGCAAAATGGTTCCACTTGGACTCACTCTCAATACGTCAGCTTGAGGGGCCCCACATTCACCAAAAAGTTGTTTTCCCGCTTCACTTATCAAATGTTGCACTATTAGCTCTGGTCGCATTTCACCGCTCCTGTTGTATATCTGACATTAAACTATAATATATATATATATATACTCACATTGGATGAGAGATATTTCAAAAGCAAACTTCACACTCCTTATATTCCCTCACAGCAGTTGATTGGTTTCTATCAGTTTTTACCTGTGATAAATATTATCCTAGTTACATACATCACACCTGTTATCTCCAAGGGGGTAGGCAGAGTCCCAAAAACAGCAAGCGACTCAGACCAGAATTATAAAAAAAATATGAGTTTAGATGGAAAATTGTGAAAGTAGTGATAGGTGGCCAACCCATCGCCTACACAATCACAACATACTAGTAGAGTAACACAGCACATACTTTATTGTTATAAGCCCCACATAAACATGGAACCTATAGGTCCTGGACTAACATGGGTCATCCCAAGGGTGTTGAATAATCAAAGAAGGAAATACTAATATAGAGACCTAAAGACAATGGTCAAACCACTATCTAGATCATAGGTTCTTAACTATTTAGTGACCATTGACCAATTTTTGGCTTCCCATGGACCAACAACTTTTTGACATTATGAAAGATTATGTCTAAAAGATGGGTGCTGACATTGGTAGTATTCACAAACCAAGTGTGACCACCAAAAATAAAAAAAAGTTTTATATTTGAGAGAACCGATTATGGATGTTTCCGGAGCCACCATTTGTTCTGGGACATCCGGTGAAGATCCACTGAATTAGACTATGCTGGACTGGCAACACTGAACATCTGCCACTAAAGTATTATAGGTTTGATACCTTAGGTGTCTAAGTACAAAGATCAGATATCATAGCAAATACACCATATTTAAACACATGTCCAGCAGAGGGCTATTGATAGGGTGACCTCAAGATCACTACAATAAATCCCTTATGAACTTTGCAATCAGCCTAACCTGCAAGAAATATATTATATATAACCTATTATTTTTGCAAAACTAAGAGAAATAACTAATGTTATTTCTCTTAATTTTGCAAAAATAATGTACCTAAATGGATAATAATAAAATATTTGCCATTGGAAAGGTAACTCTGGCAGGTAAATGGCGATAAAACTATACAATTTTCACCAACATAATATACTGAGATCGGTGACAAGAAGTGACATCAAAAGTATAAGACATCTGGTACTGTGATTTCCAATCTACCTTCAAATTGCAGTAATTATGGTAATTTCCCTATACTATGTTAGAAATCATTGTTCAGCTATGGACTATTTATAATATAGCTAATGCAAAAGAAGATAAATAAAAAATATGGGCGACCTTTCTTAATGCTGACTGTAAAAACAAAAGCAAAATGGCAGTAATATCTTGCACACAATTTAAGCTGAGACTAAGACCTAGTTTGTACTACATTAACTTTTCTTTAAAGTATATTAGTGTTCCAAAACGTTAGTACACCAAGCATCATATTTTTTCAAATACATATATATTTTAATATTTCTATGTATTTAATTTCGGTGCTTATTATTTCTATTCGAAGTATTCAAGATAAGTAGCATTTTTATTTTTTTTGTCACATAAAAGATAATAAGTAAATTCGAATAAAAATATATTTATTAACTCGTATTACGTATATTTTTTCAGCAACATTCTATTATCTATTTGCCGCAAAGCTATAAAGATAAATAATTATGCAATCAACACTTACAGATCGGCCTGCACTTCCAAATAAAAATATGTAGTACTCATTCCAATTTCTATTTTACCTAATAAAGATAAAATTAACTAATTTTTTTTTTATTACATAAAAACAACAACTTGTTTTTCATTCACCCGTGTATATTTTTCACAGAATATAAAGAGGATACTGCGCATGTATTTTTATTTTTGAGGTTAAAAAATTGATCTTCTAGTTCTGACAGCTTTTTTTCTTTTAGTACAAAGGCAAAGGAAGGGTCTATATTCTATTCATACAGCCTAGTTTGACGTGTATTACAAAATTCTGCACAATATGCTGATGCCTCGCATTACGAAGTTTTTGGGAAATTTTTAGAGATTTTGACGATAGTTAGCAAGCGGACAGCTAATGATCATATCGCAAAGGGTACGACTTTCCATTTACTCCCATCGAGTTGGGGGTTGATACGTATTTTTACAGAAAAGTTACACTATTATAAGCACACACACAAAGTTACAATATGCGGAAGCGCGTAATTTTTGAGAAAAAAGTTATTGAAAATAAATTATTCTTACATTGATGTCTAATCCTACAATAAAACTGACGCCATTTTTTTATTGTCATTGTCAGTAGGGATGTCGATTCTTTCCGAAAAATATCGATTTTTTAAATAGATTCGAATTGTAAGCTAATGTATCGATTCCCAAAAAATCGATTTCTAAAATATCTATACTTTTTTCATGTTTGCATTTATAATGTAAATATAAATCCATTTTATGAGAAAAAAGTCCCCTTCATCATAAAATATAGGGGGACTGATTCAGAAGGATTTCTGTATCTATTTTGAAACTGCTACGTCTCCGGCGCTGCGGAAAGAGCAGCCTCTACGCCTTAGCGTAACAATTCGCAGGCATCTCTCCTCGCCTCCGCAGCTTCGGCTTGTTGGTCGCTCCCCCTACGCGCCTCCGGCTCTATAAAACCACTCTAGGGGTAGGACAGACTCGTACCAGGTGGAGTCGGGGTCAATCAATTCGGTTTTTTGACATAAGTTGAACCTAACCTATTTTATTTGTTATCTGCCCTAATTGGTACTGTTGAAATAAAACAAATTTCAATAAGAGATCATTTATTATGGTATATTTCATGTTTTTCATAAAATGGAATTATATTTACATTATAAATGCAAACATAAAAAAAATAGATATTTTAGAAATCGATTTTTTTATGAATCGATACATCAGCTTACGATTTGAATCGATTTAAAAATCGACCTTTTTCGGAAAGAATCGACATCCCTACTGACGACAATGACATTACAAAATGGCGTCTATTTTATGGTAGAATTAGATATAAACAATGCAAGAATAATGGATTTTCAATAACTTTTTTCTCAAAAATTACGCGCTTCCGCATATTGTAACTTTGTGTGTGTGCTTATAATAGTGTAACTTTTCTGTAAAAATACGTATCAACCGCCAACTCGATGGGAGTAAATGGAAAGCTAAGCCTCGCAAAGCTTAAATCTTAGTGGAAAAAACTTGATATTTAATCAACATCAAAAAGTCCGTTAAGAAGCAATTAAGGATCTTTACTCCAGGATGCTTTACTGCTGGCCGGATGAGGAAGCTCAAGGTTGCTCAGCGAGCTATGGAGAGGGCTATGCTCGGAGCTTCTCTGTGTGATAAACTTAGAAATGAGGATATCCGCAGTAGAACCAGAGTGGCCGACATAGCCCAACGGGTTAGTAAGCTGAAGTGGCAATGGGCCTGCCATATAGCTCGAAGAACCGACACCCGATGGGGAAAAAAGATTCTCGAGTGGTGGCCTCGTACCGGCGGACGAAGTGTAGGGCGCCCCCCCACTAGATGGAGTGACGACCTGGTAAGATATGCAGGAAGTCGATGGATGCAGGTGGCTCAGGACCGTGCTTTATGGCATACCTTGGGGGAGGTCTATGTTCAGCAGTGGACTTGTGAAGGGCTGTAATGATGACTCCAGGATGCATCTACATCACCGGTTCTCATTCTACAGCATAGATGACCAGCACATTGCCACTTCTCTTGCAAATTAAAAGAACTATTTTTATTTATTTTTATAGAAGAGGGGGCAAACAAGCATGTGGCTAATAAATGCGGTAAATAAATGATGGTAAATGACCTTCAAGAAAACAGCCTACTCTTTTTAAAAGATCGGCAACGCATTTGCAATTCCCCTGGTGTTGTAGTTGTTCACAGATGTCACTTACCATCAGGTGAGCTATATGCTCATTTGCCCCCTCTCATTTAAAAAAAAAATGTCGATCACCGGCATAGAGTACAGTAATATATACGGTAAACGGCCTTTTAGAATTATTATTATTTAGTTCATTCTCCTGCAGGATTCTTCATTAAAAATCTCGAAAGTGAGGAAGCCTGCATATATATAAGGAACGTGTGAAATACACGTACTGGAGTAGCCCGGCCAAAGGACAGGTTGCTGTAACCCCATTAAAAATGAGAGGGGGCCTGTACCCAACAATAGAAATTGTAAAAGTACCTAACTTTTTTAAGTCAAAGTAAAAGTTAATTTTAATATAAAATAGGACCTTATAAAGGATACTTTTGAAAGACGAAGAAGTTTTGTCATCTATATAACATGCGTGACTACTATACTCTTGTAACGTTTACACGTATCTTAATCTAAAATTATGCGAAATCACCACACTTATTATAATCTACCACATATTTATCTGTACTCAAGTAATATCGATAGATATTTTGTTCTACATTTCAACTCTAACGATGGCTTATTTTCTTAGCTGACTTCAAGAAAGGAGGAGTTTCTCAATTCGATTGTATAGTACATATTATGCATCGGCTAACTTCGTATTACCGAATATGTTTGACCGCACTGAGACTGTATAATATATAGCTGATCTTACCAAATTATTATTGCGAGATTATCGGTGTTGCGAGAGACTTATAGCTTTGCTTAAGTTAATTATTTTGATGGTATTGTAGAACCTAATAAGGATAAAAATAAATTTGAATCATACTTTGAAACTTATAAATCATCCTATAAAACAAAACAAATGGTTATAAAGTTCAATATATAAGTCCACAAAAGGTCGCGCATGTCCCCTCTTCGTTTTTCTCTCGTCCTCGTTTAATCCTAGTTGTAACTTTAAAAGAAATCATTTACTGCGCCACACCACTTGCAGGGCTTTCAACTAATTGCTGTTCTTAGAAATGTTATTGACATTTATTCGTTTGTGATAAATTTAAAATTACGAGTGCTTTTAGGACCAAATTACTTTCGTCAATTGTTTTTGTAACGTGCAATAACGACGATTGTTTCTGATGTTTGCCGAATCACTATAATTTATTCTGAAGTACTGTATTTTCTTTTTGTACGTATAGTATGTGATATCTTCGAGATATTATCTTATACTTCAGAGATGGTGATAATTTTGAAAAATAATTTAAAATTAATAATTTTATACAACCGACTTCAATATAAATTATTAAGAATAACTCAAAAACTATTGGTCAGACCTTGATAAAAAAGCACCAGCTTTCAAATAAAAAAAGAATCATCGAAATCGGTCCACCCAGTAAAAAGTTATGAGGTAACAGACATAAAAAAAACATACAGTCCAATTGAGTACCGTCTCCTTTTTGAAGTCGGTAGAAAAAAGATTCAAACTCTAAAGGTGGAAAAATTGGGTGATGAAGTTTTTAATGTAACTATTTAGACGACATTTTAGTTACTACTAACTTGAGTTTGTGATATTAGTAGTTAGTACTAAATTAATTAAATAGTTCAAAAATTTAAATTCTATAATTGTAATTAAAATTATAAACTTTTTAATAAAAGTAAAAATCGGCTTTAAAGAAATAAAAAGAATAAAATAACTTCCGAAGTTAGCTTCTGAAGTCGAGGCTTTATTTCTTCTATACACTATGTCTAGCACCGACTTCGGAAGCTATTATGTGGATTTTTTATTGATTTTAGTTCTTTGAAATCGACCTATGCTTTTTTATTAAATTTTAAATTGTTTTCATAGTTATGTCCATAAATATATAGATTAGGTATCTAATAACTTCATCGTTTTCATTCACGTAGAAGATATCATAAGCTGAAGTGACGTGCTTGTCCATTCGTTGTTATCAGGTAGTTTGTAGAACTCTCTACGAGTCATAGCGTTGAGGTCTACTTGAACTGTGTCTAGCGTTATAACAGACACGGACAAAGCAAGTGCGGCCATTGTGATCGCTATCTTAGCAACAAAGACTTCGACAATGATATCACGCTGCTGATCGGTGGGTCATGAGTCGTCGCCGGCCCTCTTTGCTGAATAATCTGATCTAAAACTACGGAGTAGTGTCAGCGATTTCAGATAAACCATGCATAGGTAGTACAGATAAACGTACCTTACTACTGCGCTAAAGTAGGCAACATAGTAAAAATGTAAAATCATATAAGTAATTTTCACTCTGCCGACTATTTATTTATATTTATCTAGCAAGGTATCTCAGAATTGCAACTTTTGTGTCACATTTTACTTCTATAACGATATTATAAAATATTTATTTTCTCTTCGAAATATCGTACGAAGTTGTAATTGCAATACAAATTAAAAAAAAAAATAGATTTACAATACAAAAACGAGTGTGCAATTCTGTCTCAATTGATGACTAGTTGAAAGTTCGATTTTAATTTCATTCTTTGTTTCAAAATTACTGAATTGTTTTTTTTTATGAAAACTTAATCAGGTGATTTAAAATATTTTTTTCAAAACCTATAAATGTTGTGTACTTATTTGCCGCTTTTTGCCCCGTGAATGTAAGTACTAAGAGTAAATAAAATCACTCAAAACAAGATCTCATAGACAAGGAATGCCATAAATCACGGTCCTTAAAGCGTATGTCTGTAATATCGATATGTTTTGTCTAACAGTATGTCTGTCTATCGGGGCTAAATTCGAAATGGCAGAACTGATTGTGACAAAACTTCCCGAATAAATAGAGATCAACGCCAGGAGTGATCTAGGCTATATTTTATCTTAAAATCTTGGGGATATTTTGCGTAATCGAAAAATTATAAATGTCTTAGATGATATTTTATAACTAAATGACGTCAAATTAATAGATACAGGCAAAGCCGGTGGTGAGGGAAGGGGGTCGATAACGATAGATAAAAAGGTAAAGAGATCAATCAATACAGCAAATCCATTGTTCCTACTATAGCAGCGCTAAAT